CACTCTACCCTCATGTTCAGCCAGTGTATGAACCGGAGTTGTATCCACAGTCGACACTCGCTGAGCACGAGGGTAGGAAAATCTTTCCATTGCAGCAGAGCCATATATGGGGAGAGTCTGGCAGTCTATGATTTCGCTGCCGTAACGTCTCCCTTCCGAGTGAGCTGATCAGCCCGCGGCACAGAGCAAGAGGTGTGAGCGCATGCGCGTGAACTCTAGGCTGCTCCCAGCTGAGCGGGGAGGCCCGCCATTTTCATTCATTCGCCCGGCATGGGATCGATATTCAAATTTCGGTTCTTTCCTTTTATTTGGCAGGCTCTGGCAATAAAATGATATAGTGTTATTCCTCGGTGGCTTAAAAACCTAAAGAAAGAAGTTCCTCCATGTTTGAACGCACTTTTATTTAGGCAAAAAAAATAAATAAGCCCGTAGCAGACGACACGTAGCCTCAACAGTGCTCCGTGCAGACAGCTTTGCGTCAAAATGGTGGTCGTCTCCTCTTTGTTTCTCTGCTGCCTTCTCTCTCCCTCCTTCGGCGTTTTCCTCCCTTTCCTCCTCTCCGGCGCCTTCGTTGCCACACCCGCTGGCTAAACTCTCCCACTATACGGCTTTGCATTGCAGTAGTAGTTTTATTTGTAGTCTTTACAGTTGAATGTGAATATTTGACAGAAGTCTCAGGTTGGGGCGAAAGGGGGTTAAATGAATGCATTTGATCATTCACCTAAATTCGGTACCCATCATTTTAACGCCTACGTAGCTTTGTCCTGGGGGGTGACTATGACTAAAATAAGAGGATCTATGTGCTGATCACGAAAGAATATGCTAGCCATTCTAATGTAGCTCTGCCAAGTACTTGATTGTGATTTGTTTTTATTTTCAGCTACTTGGGTGCCTCAAGATCTGGAGATCCTAGTGGCCACAAGCTTGGACTCAATCTTTTTCTGTGGTCTGGGCAGGACCATGGGGGAGGTAATCCCAGCAACAAGAGCATCGCAGTATCTCCCTGGCTGTGACTTTCGGTCTGCGTCACGACAGGGAAGTCCTCGTGCCACCAGGTGTTAGGTATGCCACTTGAAATAAGCATTTTTCTTACCTATTAATAGAACAGCAAAAGCACTACTAAGCCTAAAATGAAAAAAAAAAAACATATTCAAATCTTGGGTTGGATGAAATTCCAATTACAAAAAGGAGTCTGCAGACATGATTAACATGTGAACTTAAAGCCCGCGGATGTAGGTTCGACGGTGTCACAGAAATAACTTCCCGCAGATCTCCTTGCTCGTGCTATACCCAAACAAATTCTTAAAATAATCATTGTGTTTCGTTGGTGTCATCAATCTTATGTCCCTACCACACTCACCAGTCGGGACATGTGAAATATAAAAAAACAGGAACTTGCACATTGTCAGCTCTGCAAAGATTTATATAGTAAACAGAGCATAGCACGTTCAGCTTAAGAAAAAAATTCAGTGCAGGCCTATATTCATGGTTCACATATGTGTAATTGCTCTTTATAATGAAGTGAAAACTGCTTAAGTTGTGGCCCACTACAGGCTTTCTATTAGTGTTAAAAAGTGCGGTAGAAAATATGATTGCGCTTGGAAGACGGGGACATATGAAGGACAGACACAACAGAGCGCTAACTTTCAACTGATTTAATTCAAGAACCTCAGCGTAGAAACGGACTGTGTCACCGCACCACATCTCAACCAATCCGTGGCCCTGCCACGGACCGCAAGTACGCCAAATCCTTATCCGCCAAGTCAATTGACGCCACACTGACACAACTTGTGCCGGAACTATTTATAGTGTCAGCCTCCATAATCTCGCTAACAGTCCTATCTTTGTGCCTCTCAAGAACAATAGACAAAACAAATAATGGTTTGCACCCGCAGTCATGACAGTGACACGACAGATCATGACTGCGAGTGCAAACCATCTGAGCCACTGACTCATACATGACTATGTGGCAAACATTAATTTTCATGTGGATTATAGTTTACAAGGTCTAGTCTGCATTGACTTATTGCATTCATGCTGAAACTGGGAGGTGTTCTCTGGGTATGAATAAAGAGATAAACATTTCTTGAAATCAAAACATTTGAGAACGGACAAAAGGAAGGATCTGAGAACGGTATCTTAGATTCTCTTCTTTTTCTTACAGTATCTCTAATGTTCACTTTATTTCACCTGATGCATTTAGTTTTTAGCGCAGCTCTTAGCACCCGTTTCCGCGTTTTGCGGCGTCGCTGTCGGCGTAACCACCCAACTAAACTTGGCAGGAAATTGAATTAATGTTGTGGTCATGTGACGTTAATATTTCCGCTAAGTCTAGCTGAGAAACTGAATTTTTTTATGGCTGACGTGACACGGTCATGCGACGTCATTTTCCCTGCTACTTTTAGCGGAAAAACTGCATTTGTGTTGAGGTCATGTGACATCAATTTCTGCGCTAAATTTAGTGGGAAACTTAACCAGCTAAATTTAGTGGGGAAATTTTCCCGCTAAATTCAGGGAAGTTTCCTGCTAAATGGGAGGGAGCAGAAGAGGAGGAGGGGAGGGGGAGGAGGGGCATACCTTCCCATCCTCCTCTTCAAGATCTGTGCTCTAATTTCACGTTACAGAGAATTGTAAACGTCTCATATTTCATCTCATGTTTATTCAACTTTTATATTGCAGGTGCGCTCGCAGCACAAATCTGGGTTGTGCTGATCCTCTACGCACAAGTTAGGAACTCCTGAGTGGCAAGAGTGGGAGTTTGGTCTGACAGCTCAAGGGACACCATTGTTCAGTATTGAATTTTTAATAATCTTCTTTTAAGCAAAGTTAAGCTTTGCTGCATGCAGTTCTTGTAAAAATAAATACCTGCAACCAAATTTACCAGGTCACGACATTTCGCCTCTGCTCTTAGTGGTCCTGGTGAGCCTCGGATAAGAGCTTACTGGTGTGCAAACACCATGCTTGTTTGAAACCACTCACTGATGTAGAGACTCGCTGACATCCAGCATTCCAATGAAACGCTGGATGTCCACAAGTCTTTCTTGAACAATGCAAGCGGGGAAGGAACCATACAATCGTATCGTATTGGGGGACATTCTACAGTTTTTTTTCAATGTTTTACAGATTTTTTTTAAAAAAGCCGTAAAAGCTACATTTACGCAGTCTGTGCACGTGAGTTATATGGCCAGGGCGGCATAGTATAAAAGGCTAATTTGTAATGATCCGTCGGCTTATTACAGAGATGTGCCAGACTTCTTTCAGAAAACTAGATGGAGGTTCATTCTAGCGTAGTTTTATCCCGCGAATCTGAATGTCCCGTTCGTTTTCCTCAAAGATATAACTAAACGTGAGAAAACACAAAAAACATCCCACCAACAGTGACATCGTAAGAAGACCTTTCGGCCGCCAAGCGTGTGTCGCTTAAGGGCCGCGCGTCCAATCGCAAGTTTTCTAGGTATATTCTCCGGCACTGGCACCAGTCGTGACACATTTTTCTGCCCTTTTAAAAAATAGCATGTGCGTGCATAGCTTTGATAGGCGCTGAAGATGCGTGAACAAAGATTTTGAAAGCTGCTGTTGTGACGTCGCTCTCTAGGGAGGTGCTTTCACAGCGCTTTAAAAATGACTATGCAGCCTTGATTAATTAAATTAGCAAATAATTTTGATATTTGAGATTCTGGAGGTCGAATGAAGGAGACTTAAAAGTGTTTTCTCAAATACAAAACTGCTTCAGCCTCTCTCTAAGTATAGTATGTTCGTGAAATTTTTAATAAGTGAAAATAGACCCATGGTTCCAATTAGAAACCTGCTAAGCATCATCAAAACACACTAAATCAATTTTCTTTGTAAAGATATAAGACGAGTAGCATTTTATGGCGTTATAAAAAAATGGTCAATTTGGACGCATTTCCAGACTTCGGTTTCTTACCAGAGCACATCTTTGCACCTGCGGTCCAGCTGCCCGGTGACCGCAGTGCGAAGCCGCCCCCTCGCCTCCCTCGTAGGATGAAGGGAAGCAAGGCGCATGTGTGTTGCGTGTCTATGCCCCTGGGGAACAGGACCGTGGGCGCAGAGATGAGCTCTGATAAGAAACTGAAACCTAGAAACTCGTCCAAATAAAGCTTCTTACAGAATGCATAAAACGCTACCCCTGAATTATATCCTTTTAAAAAGACTTGATTTTGTGGTTTTCAATGACTCAGCAAGTTTCTAATTGAAACCATATTTTCATTTTCACTAATTAAAAAGTTGATTAACAAATTGTATTTAATTATCTGACTGATCGTTACGACTAGGTCCCTATACTACGTACGCCTGGCCGTATAACTCGCCTGCACAAACCGCATTAATATAGCTTTCACGACCTTTCTAAACATATATGTAAAGCTTAAAACTAAATCGCCCTGTACAACAGTGAAAAGGCGAAACCAACACGCTGGAGCCATATGGCTCCACCATGCTGGTATCGCCTTTTTGCTGGTATAGGATGTCCCATATTACGTTATGCATGTATGGTTCCGTCTGCCTACATGGTTCCGCCTATATCCACTACGCTGGTATAGGATGTCCCATAATACGACACGCTTGTATGGTTCCGCCCACCTGTATCGTTCCGCCTTATTCCACTATACTGGAGCCGCCTTTTTCGCTTGTATAGGATGTCCCATATTACGGTTACGCTTGTATGAGCCTTTTCCGTCATCTTTCCATCATCGAGATTTTCCAATAGGGAAGTGCAGCTTTCACAGCTTTTTTTTTTTCATGTTATATTCTTAGAAAAAGAAAACACCCTGTTTTATTTTCATAAAGAAGTATTGAATGTGCCTAAATACCTCTTTTTTTGTGGCGCCACAACGCTCAGTAGTTCTTCTTTCTCGTGGTTCAGTGCTCGCAATCCCTCATGCTAGGTGCATTAGCTCTAGAGCTTCAAGCACTCGATAATTGACCCTCTTACGAAGCTGCAGGTCAAGGTTCCAGAGACTTCAAGAAACAAACCTTACCTTGCACGCCTTTGCGAGACCCCTTGCGTCCCCTGCAGTCCTTGTGGCCTTTTTCACTGCCCGAATCTTGGCTGGAGGACGCGGGCGTGCTGTCCCTCATGATGATGCTCTCGTAGCCACTGCTGGTTCCGGAACACTGTACCACCTGGATCGTTTTCATAACGCCCTTAAAGCTGCTTGAGTCGCTGCTTCCATGACCGCTGCTGGATTCCCGCACTGTCGGCCTGGCTTGAGTGACAGTCGCATAAGGGGACGGCAAAGCGTCCGGTTCCAAGGTCTTGGCTCTCTGGATGTCGTTAGGTTTTGTGTCCGCACAACACGGAGTGCTTGGAGTAGAAACACTGCGGTACAATGGATTGTCGCTGCTTTCGCCGTTGTTAGGCGCTGCGGTTGTCTTATGCCCCTTGCGATTTTTTGTCTCGCAGTGCTTGCCATTTGCGCATGGTCCCTTCGTAATTACGGGAGGCCTCGCGTTCTTCGCACCGGACCGGCTACGCGTTGGACTACAGCATCCAGTGAGCGTACCACAGGAACTGCTCGTGGGGCTGGCTATTGCGCGCGCAACAGGCTGAATGTGCGATTTCAGGTTGGCAGGCGCCGCTGGAACGGAATTATTACTCGCTGTTTTCCGGGAAAGCTTTGGACTGGATACAACCGCTCGTTTGGGCGACGAGTGTTCTGACTTTGGATGCTGATTTGGGCTACCGCGGGAGGTACTAACCATCCTGTTCAGCCTCATGCTGGGCTTTTCCGTTAAGCCCGGAGCGTGGTCCTCTTTTTGACACGTCTTCGCGCCTTCTTCGTCGGGTCCTTCTCTGCTTAGCCGCCTCTGCTGTCTGACAGAGGAACAGACAGCGGGCGAAACACAGTCCCCCGAAGCGTCTACGGAAGAATCCGAAAAGCCGTCGGGGTACAAGAGGACCTTTTGACTCGTTACAACGGCTGGTGTTTCGGCGCAAGCTATGTTGGCGTTTCCGAGTGAAAACCGCCTCTGTGGCTGCACGTCTATCACAGCTGGCTCGAGTTTGTTGGGGAACACTCCAAAGTCCTTCGCCAAGAGGTCCAACTTGTCGGAGTAGGACTGAAATAGTGCGTCGCCATGAGGTGAGAGTTTTGGAGGAGACAGCTCCTGGCTGCCCATCAACGAAGTGTTGGACTTCTGAATGCTGTTGTAAAACGCTTCCAGTTTGAGGCCGTTCATCGGCTTTATGTTTAGCCGCTGGATGTCGTACTTGTCTAAGTCAAACTCAGCAGGCTCACTTTTTGTACTGGTGACATCTGCGCAGTCGCTTCCATCCGTTGAACCGTCATTATCGTCACAGAACGAATTCCGCAACGGTCTCTGTTTCCGATTGGGCAAGCTTCCATAACGCCCTGCAGTAGGACTGGAAGCCCCACTGCGCATCACGAGGAGTGAGGGAATTCCTTCATTGTTGTTGTCAAAATAAGGCGACGTCAGCTTTCTGAGCCTTGCAATCCGCTCCAGTTTCTCAGCAAGCACATCTCCCTTCACGGCCGTGCTAAGGTCGTCACCGTAAAGTCTTCTGCGCCGTTCCTTCCGGCGCTGCAATAGCGTCCCTTGCAAGAGTCTCCAGGTGAGTCCCCCGTAGACGTGTCCCAAGAAGTCAGTGTCGTCTCCGACGCCAACGCGGTTCAGGTCCACGCTTACGGACCTGGAGTCTGTGAAGGACGATGGCAGATTAAGCCCGTCATCACTGAGAACCCTGAGAGGATGACTTCCCTGACTTCCGCCGTTGGAGCTGCCTTGATCTACCTCGGGCAACGGATTCTCGTCACCTGCCGATGGCCAGCCACATGTGGCAGCCAGGATCTCCTCTTCCGTAACCTGAAGACAAGAGTCTTGCATCTGCACAGATTCCAGCTGCTCCTCTTCGGATGAAACCATGTGCACATCTTGTTTCTTCTCCTGAACCGAAGAAGCCTTGTTTCCTTCGAGGTTGTGACGACTGGCCTGAGATGATCCCGCTCCTTTAACGTGTTTCGTGCTTTGCTTGTCCTCTGTGCGAGCAACAGACTCCCTGCCACATAACCTCTCTGGAGAGTTCTTTCTTTTGTGCTCCTGGTGCGCCCTTGCTTTTCTGTGCTCTGGCGTTGAATTAGCACTCGATTCGGCGTCCGCTTGAGGTACTTTGCCAGATTTCGAACTCCTCAGCTTTTTGCTACCTCCGGGACTCTGCACGTAGCGGGAATGTTCGTGCACCCAACGCTCCACCATGTTCTTTTTGTGATCGTCCATGTAACCATACAGAGCAGTCGCGGCCGCTGCCGCCGCCGCGGGTCCATCCACCCACTGTTCTTTCTGGAGCTGCTGCAGAGTCCTAGAGTCGAAACGTGGCTTCGAGAACCGCGGGCCGTCGATCCAGAGCTCGTCACTCGTTCGTTTCTCATTGCTGACGGTTTCTTTAGCTGCGTCCTTGGCGGGACTTCGATGCACCTTCTTCAAAGAGTTATGCTGGCTCGTTTTATGCGGACTCTCGTTAACGGTAGGTGAGGAACTGTTGTCTTGCCGCACGGCCTTGGGGCTAGCTACGCTCTCCGCTTTACCAGCTGCTGATGAACTTGGTCGGCTCGTAGTGGTTCCAACGGTGCCGTTACAGCTCCGCGCCGGAGAGTCGGGGGTCTTTGAGAGGATAGTCCGGGCGGGCGAGTTATGTGGCGTGGGTGCCGAAAGCACAGCATGCAGCGATGATGGGCCTCCCACCGGTGGACCTTCGTTGTCGGTGAAGTCTTGGTGTCGTCCCACATAGATGACCGTGTCGCAGGATTGTTCGCTGCTGGATGTGTACTCAGGGTCCGAGCTGCCAGATCGGGGACCGCCGTCCTCGTTGAGCGCGTGAGTGCGCATGAAGGGGCGGCAAACTCCTTCAACGCCGTCGCCACAGGCACCGCTGGCTGCGGACGCGTACTGCGAAGAGACAAGGAAGAACGTGGCTTATTTTAGCAGCGGTCTCGTAGATTCGTCGTATTTAGTTACATACGATAACTCGCTGTATGTGGTGGCGGTGGCTGGCTTATCGCAAAGCGTGGAGATGACGATCGCCATTTGTAGGTCAGTTTTCAAGGGTCTCAAGACCCCTTATCATCTCGTGGAAAGTAGACTCGTTAATTAGGTTAAAATAAGTTATTAATTTTTTAGTATAAACCAAGCTCAGCATGTAGATCTAAACGCAATCCCAGAAATAATAAATTTTGAGAATTGTTTTATTTTGTAATTTTCAGTGTAGTGACATACCCAAATTGTTTGAGTGGACGTTCGGTAAATTAAATTTTCATTTTGTCTACGCTAATCGTACCTCTGAGAGCTTAATGAAGTGTATGGCCAGTTTCAAAGTTCCTGTTGGGTACCGTACTTAATGTAACATAGGAACATAAATATGACCACGGAAAACTATTTCTGAATAGAAAGAGGAAAATATTAGCTGCGTCCTAAGCTATTTTTGTCTAGAATCATACTGAATTGATCACTAGGAGCTTGTCAGTCAATTAATACTATTTATAATCCGCTCGAGCAAGAAGTTATTCGCTGTAAAAACAGAGGCAGTCGAATCCCTTTCAACAGAAATCAAGATCGCTTTTTTTTTAAGACGCGAATGGCAATAATTTGTTTATAAATTCTGATCTATGGCTAGATTCTGGGCCCTTATCTGTAGAAGGCAGAATTAAAGAAAAAAAAAAAAAAAAAAAAAACAAGCCGGGCCATTTCGTTAGATGGATTATATTTTTGCCTTCAATGAATTCCTATTACAAGGAACTACAATGTGATTTTTCAGCATGAACCATGAATTCCGGTACTAAAACGTTATGTTCATGGGCAAATGTGAAATATCGCAAATAAATACTACAAATCAAGAAGGGTAAAGGGAAGTGAGAAATTCCCCAGTGGAGTACCAGAACTTCTGGTACCCCACAGGCGTAGGGCTACAGGAAACTCTTCTGGTCCAGAAGAGTTTCCTGTAACCCTGCGCCAACTATGAGCTGAGACCTTTTCGTCAGTCACATCGAGTAACATCAACAAGAAGATTCTAAAAAAAAAGAATAAAGAATTGATGAACATGACCTATTATACGGAGATAGGAGGGGATGAGACCATGCAGTGGCGTCAGAGTCCCAAGCTCTGATTGGAAGGATTAGGAGGTAGACGGAAAAGATGGCTGTCTGCGTCTCTACACTGTCTTTCTCCAATAAAAGCGAACAAGAGCGTCGTTTGCTCCTTGCGCAGTGTCTCGTCTTCGAACGCCGAGCGCTGGCGTTCAGCGTTAGGCCGCGTTCGAAGACTGAGTAGAAACGAAAGCGGCTAGTTTTGCGTCTTAACCCCCTAGCCTTCCAATCGGAGCTCGGCAATCTGGCGCCCCGCGCGTCCTCATCTCCTCCTCTCCTTCAGTTTCTCCCAATGTAAGTTACTTCAAAAGGGTGGAAAAACAACGAACGTAAAAAAAAATGACTTCCGCAGTGAAACCAGAAAAAAAGGGCGACTACAAGGAACTGTACCAGCACATCTGTAGGATATGGTTTGCAAATACTTGTAATTTAATGCGTAATTCTTAAACTCCGCTGCTCGGTATGCTGGCACGCTTTAATGAGCGGCACAAGGTCGCACCTTGAGCTTCTTCCTGCGCATCCGATGCACCCTCGACGCGAGCTGCACCGTGGCCAGGGTCTCCGCATAGCTGGACGGCAGCGGCGAGACGTGCGCAATCATGGCGGCCCTGCACGTAACACTGCCCAGGGCCTCCTTCAACAGCTGCGTCACCTTGGACTCCCTGGAAGGCAAAAAAAAAATTATGTACACCTTTTTTTTTTTTTTTTTAAACCGCCGTACGGAGGCGCCGTTGGCAATTTACGTCCCCGCGAACTTCCGGCCAAATGAGAGGACAAACAACCACCACCATAGCACCGCTCCTTAGTACGTTCGTCAAAGATTTGATGAGCCCAGGTGGTTAGCTAAATGAGCGTTTAGCGAAAGACTTCTTGGAGTGTTTTAGGGTGCAGCTTTTAGGCGCCCGTTTACGGCTTGAGCAACGTCGCCGTCGGCGTGGCCCTCGGCGTCGGCGTAACCGCCCGTTGCATTATGGGAAACGACCCATAATGCAACGCGCGGGTCTCACTCGTGACCCACGCGTTACATTATGGGACGTTTCCCGTAATGCAACGCGCCGGACCCTTGTGACGTCACGAGGGTTCCGCGCGTTCCATTATGGGAAACGTCCCATGATGCAACGCGCGGGTCTCGAGTTATGGGACAACTCCCATAACGACGTCACCGTGACGTCACGAGTGACGTCACTAGGATCCCGCGCGTCGTATCATGGGACGTTTCCATCGTTCCTCCTCCTCCCTCCTCCCCCTCCTCCCTCCTTCCCCTCCTCCCTACTTCTGCACCTCTCCTCCTCTTTTCTCATTCTCCCTCCTCCTCCTCCCTCCTCCTCCTCTCTCCTCCTCCTCCCGTCCGTACCCTCCCCACCCCTCTTCCTTCTCAAGAGATGCGCTCTAATTCGGCATTAGAGGGAGTTGTAAACGTCTTTCATTTTGTATTACTCCGGTATGACGACCAATACCCCTTTGTATGCTAAGTAGCACAGCATAAACACCTCGCTAAATTCCCAACTTCGTGTTTTCCTTAAAACTTCATCATCCCAATAATTTTGACATCAACAGGTGTGGAAGGCCTGTCTAAACGGGACCACAGGAAGTATCATGAGGGGAAAGAGGCGGCTGACTGAAATTCTCACATTCCGTTTGTCGAAGAACGTACTGCGTGATTGATTCAGTAGGTTATAACAAACGCACTAAAATGACGAGCAAGGTGGCGCAAGCTACCGACCGTTATCAACGGTGCAGCCGTTAGCATCCATCTATCTAGTGACGATCCCCTATCGGTGCTGCTTGATTGGCTCCATCGAATTGTAGCGCCAACTGCGCTCGGACTTAGGGTTAAACAAGGTATATACCCACTCAAGACTCTCACGTCACGCCACTGCGGTGGCGCTGCTGTCGTCGCTGCGCATGCGCAGATGCTACCCCTCAGACGAATTTGGCTTCTGCTCACGCGCAGTGCCAACACCCAGTGTAACAAAACAAGGGCTTGTTTATATACAGTGTGTTGCTCGGTAGCACGATCTCAACCACCTGCCTGTATACTTTCTTTACCCATAGGTTGGAGCACGGCCGACACTAAAAGCCGATGTGACCTGTCAATTACATCACGGCGTATGTCGTCTTTTATCTGGTTTCTGCGCGCTGCGCGTTTTATGAGCGGCTAAACAAATAGAGCGCAATGCGAATGCGCTTTGATCTTACTACCTTAGTCAGTGCGTCTGTTTCTTCATCTGCTAGTCTTGGACCACTCTCTGACGTATACAGTGGAACAAAGTTTAGCAACCAAGAATCGCTCCTAACGTCTTAACTTGAGAGGAAACTTGCGCAACGTAACGGCACCTAATGGGGTATTTGGAGAGAACAACCAAATCACCGTACCAACTCAACCGTCCCAGGAGGACCAAACGCCTGACCGCTTCCCGCAGTTAACTGAACGGCCAATTTTACTAATTAATTTAAGCGATGAACCAAGTAGAGGCAATCTCGACGTTTTGGATCATTAGTTAGCTGATTTTCTTCACGTTCCGCTACGATGCGCTGACGCAACGGAATCGTCCAATTTGTTAGCCACATCCAGGCTCCTGCCTCTTCAAACTCCTCACCATTGTGGACGCAGAATTCGTTCCCTATTGATCAAGGTCTTCATCGAACCGCGGGCACCTTTCTGTGTTGGTTGCAGAATAAGATGCAATCCGAACACTCCTGCGACCATTCCGTATACCGCAATCGAAGTTGGGCGGACCGTGAAAGGGGCCCGGTTTTAATGAGACGACCTGGTAGCTGGACGATGAATGTTACACCGAACACTCGAGCACCGCGTACGAGTACACCCTTGGGGCACTTCGGTCTTAAGAAAGTCGTACCTATACCCGGTTTAACCGTAAGCTGACAGTGCGGTGGAAGCTACATGCTCGTTGGACAAGTTCTAGGTCTATCTTTCGCAATGCGATCGCGCTCCCGCCCACACTCACGCGCGGAGAGTAGGATCAGGTGATGGAAAAGAAAGCGGTTGATTAGCCCGGAGAACGAATAGCTCCTGCCGCATTGTCAGGTTAGAGTTGAACGGGGAACATAAATAGTGGCTTTCAGACTAAATACTTCAAAGACGGTGTAAGAAGAAAGAACACAAGCTGAATGGACGTATTACTGCTGAGCTGAATGAAGCCGTCAGGCCGGTTCGTCGATCTCTCTATGTCTCTGTAACTGAGCTGTATCTTTGCTCCGTGTGTGTATTTTTGTGCTGTATGCGCGCTGAGCCCTTCTTTTTTATTTATATTTTATAAGTTCACTGCGTGCCAGATTAGAGATTATTTGAAACCAGGCATATTAATATCTAGAATATGCGGAGCGCTCATCGATCCAAGTTCGCATCAATTTCTAGCGGTCACGTGAGTCGATCAAGGCTAGTGTCGGCAATGTTCCTCACCTACAAACGCACTGACTTTGCAATGCAAAGAAACAACGATACGACGGTAATGCCTTAAAAGTTTTGGCATCATTATTGTTGTGAATAAAGTAATTGAACGCATTGCTGAACGCACTAGCGTCCGCCATTGCATTGATCGTATCCCAACGGAAGATTGCCCTTTTATTTTTTTTATCCAAACTCGAGAGGACGACACATCAAACGGCTTTAGTCAGAGCAGCACTTCAATTCGGCTCCTTTGTCAGCTTTTCAAAGCGCCTCTTTGCGGACTATTCCGCCGTCCCTCCAAGGCGCATCTCTGAGGCGCATTTCGCGGTCCCGAAGACGACCGGAAGACAAGAAGACACAAAGTCGGAAGCCGAGACATATCCGTGCTGCTCTGCACGGGGCTACACGGTCCCATAGTGAGCGCGGTCGCACGGAACGGTGCATCCAGCGGCAGCGGAGACCTCGAACGACAACAAGCAACGTAGCAATACAAAAAAGCAAGCATAAAAACAAACAAAAAAAAAAACTTCGGAACCAAGTGAAACAAAGAAAAAAATCTTCCACCAGAGACAAAGTAGCATCAAGGGCGTCAAGAGCCGAGGGACTTGCAGCTTCCACACGGCGGAAAGAATCAAAGAGAAAGCCTGCTGCGGCTGATGCTGAGGCGACGTGATTGTAATTGGATAGGGACTCTGGGGAGGCGCTGCGCAGGAAAGAGGGAAAGGGGGAATGAAGCCAGCGTTCGGGTCGCATGCCGTCTCTCCCTCAATCAAAGCTGATCGGACACATCGGAGACAGCGGCCGGAACAGACCCCATGTTATTTTTTTTTTTTTCGCTTTTGGGAGAGGGACGACGAGAGTTCGAGAGCGAGGCGTATGCATGTTTGCCAGCATCCATGCTTCGAAGACGGGTCTGGCCACCGTGGATGGGAAGAAAGATTTGCTGGAGCAAGAATTCGGCGGCTATGCATCCGAAACTACGGTCGCACAATCAAGTGAGCTTAACCTTAAGCATCCAGCAATCTGTATAGAAAGCCGGACGATTTTCACACATCTGCCGTAAAGGCATGTCTCAGTGACCTTCATGAATTTGTGTAACGGCAATGTTTAATGCCCAGAGAGTGTTTTTCAAGGAATAAGCATATGCTGAATTTTAAGTAACGGCCTTCAGCACTCAAGATATTGGCACTAGTGCGCTGCAATTACGCCAAGTTGATTTTGCATACCGGTGTCCCCCGTAATGTTAGAAAACAATAGGCATTGAAAGGGCTATTACAATGTACTCAGTGTAATAAATTCCCCTTTTTTTTGTCATATAATAAAGAAAGAAAGAAAGTACTAAAGTTCATATTGTCGACCAATTACAATCTTTTTTTCTTCCTTTACTTCCGTGTGGTGTAAAAAAATTGTATAACACTTTTTTACTTACTCTTGAATCCCTTGAATATTTTATAAAATGTGGCATCCTTGTTGTCAATGCGTTTGTCGAGAGAACATGCATCAGAAATATGCAGGTGGTTAAGTACAATTAAAATTAAAACGGAGGACTTGAATACACCAGTAACGTTAGGCTGACATAATCGTTTATCATAAACTTCCCATTGGCATCTGTTTGTTTAACTTTGTTTATCTACGAAGTAACACTTTATATTTATTATATAAACTCACAGTTCCATTTTTTTTGCTACCAAATTATCATATAAACGACTACGCAAGCAGAGGTACGTTAAAATCATATTTAATATAGGACACATGTGTAAATGTATCGGTTGACTGATAGAACTGACCAGTCTCCAAGACGCCAAACCCCTTCTTGTAATAAAAACTATACGAAACAAACAGCTACGCAGTAACGTAATGTTACAACAAAACTACGAGAGCGGAAATAATCCCTATCCATAAAATAAAAAAAAAAAGCCCGGTGGAGGGAAGCAGAATCACAGTTCCACAAGCGTACGTACAAGGCATTCCTTAATCAGTAGGAGCGCAATAAATAATAATAATAAACGAAAGCACGAACGTTGGCGGTCTTACGTTTCCTACACGTCCGATTCCATTAGTGCCAAAAGTCGCGCGAGCCGACCGTCCAACCCCTAAAAAACACATACACAGTGGAGCCAAAACGCAATGCCGTCAAAATTTGTGTAACCTTACGATGGACCGTAGAGGACGCTACAACTATCCAAGCCAATCCAAAGCCTCGTGAGTTTCACGTGACCCTCAGGAGGCGTACGGCGACGTGCGGTTCAC